ACGGACTCAATTCTGAGTCCGAATCTTAATGGATTCTGGAACATATCTTTGACCAAGTTACGGGATCTAGAAGCTCTCATTAACTAAGTTATGGATTCTGGAAGCTCTCATTAACTAAGTTATGGATTCTGGAAGCTCTCATTAACTAAGTTATGGATTCTGGAAGCTCTCATTTACTAAGTTATGGATTCTGGAAGCTCTCATTTACTAAGTTATGGATTCTGGAAGCTCTCATTAACCGAGTTATGGATTCTAGAAGACATCTTTGACCAAGTTACGAGATCTGAAAGCTCTCATCAATTGAGTTATGGATCCTGGAAGACCTCATTAACTAGGGGTGAGGTTCTGGGCATCCGCGAAAAACACGAGTTTGGTCAAGCGAACCACCAAGTGAGAGGTCGGCAGACTGTAATTAATCCCGCAGCAAATTATGAGAGTTGGAGAGTCGAGGATCCAGAACGAAAAATAATGAGTTAATGAATCTAAACAGCTCGACAAGACTATTCGAGTCTGGGATACGCATTTAGAGAGAGAGAGAGAGAGAGAGAGAGAGGGAGATGAGAGAGAGAGAGAGAGATGGGAGGAGAGAGAGGGAGAGGGAGAGGAGAGAGAGTGAGATGAGGAGGGAGCGAGAGAGAGAGAGAGAGAGAGAGAGAGTAAATACGCTGAGGTCGAATCATTACACGGTTCGGTAAGGTATCAGTGGTTCTGTATTAACATCAAATTGTCTCAATAAACATACTTGAAATTGAACTTGGTTCTGTATCACTAGGAGTAGTGGTCATTCCCCCTTACTGCCATACTATTGGTGGATAGTCTAAACTCATTAAATATAGAAAATGATTTAGTAATGATTCTGAATATTAAGAATAACAAATATATTGGGCAATTTAACACTTATATGTTAATCTCCATAATATTTAACAAATACCACAACATAAATTAGCGATACTTACAATATACTGTAACAGTCATTAATATGTGAGACTAATCGGCAGTATTTTTTTGTTTAGAAAATAAGGAAAATAATGGAGTATCTGAAGCAAATTAAGATATTAACTTTGCAATTAACTGTCAATACAGGAGCCAGAAAGTAAAGATAAAAAAATATAGTGACCACTGGCCATCAACACTACCATCAATATCATCATTAACACCATCAATATCATCATCCACACCATCAATATCACCATCCACACGATCAATATCACCATCCACACCATCAATATCACCATCCACACCATCAATATCATCATCCACACCATCAATATCACCATCCACACGATCAATATCACCATCCACACCATCAATATCACCATCCACACGATCAATATCACCATCCACACCATCAATATCATCATGCACACCATCAATATCATCATCCACACCATCAATATCACCATCCACACCATCAATATCACCATCCACACCATCAATATCATCATCCACACCATCAATATCATCATTCACACCATCAATATCATCATCCACACCATCAATATCGTCATCCACACCATCAATATCATCATTCACACCATCAATATCATCATGCACACCATCAATATCACCATCCACACCATCAATATCATCATCCACACCATCAATATCATCATCCACATCATCAATATCATCATTCACACCATCAATATCATCATGCACACCATCAATATCACCATCAATATCATCATCCACACCATCAATATCATCATTCACACCATCAATATCATCATCCACACCATCAATATCATCATCCACACCATTAATATCATCATCCACACCATCAATATCATCATCCACACCATCAATATCATCATCCACACCATCAATATCATCATCCACACCATCAATATACCATTCCTGACATTGATGATGAAGCAGACACGAGACCGGGGGAAACAGGGAAGCAATAATGGCCAATCACGCTCACAACAACCTACTTGACCCAACCTCCGTACCCTGTCTTCACACTTAACGCACCTTAATTTTGACGCTATCGACCATAGCGTCAAATTTCAGTTGATTTAATTGAACTAAAAGCACCGCAATCTTGACGCTTCCTAGGACTAATAAGTATCGGCCACGCTATGCTAGGTGGGCTGCCTAAACGCTTCAGCTTAGATTGAAAACTTAAAATTAGACGCTGACAAACCAAATATCCACATCAAGGCCTATATACATAGTTTGACAAACACAATAACCTTGCCTAGGCCTTGATTTAATGTGGTCATAATATACTCACGTAGCTATCTTAGGTCTGACACTGGACTTCATGCAGACCTCTGTACCTTTCCAGTTATGGCTTTATGGTAAAGGTGGGGATTCCATTGTGTGTGTTTAATTACCTAAGTGTAGTTACAGGATGAGAGCTACGCTCGTGGTGTCCCGTCTTCCCAGTACTCTTTGGTATATAACGCTTTGAAAGTACTGACGGTCTTGGCCTCCACCACCTTCTCACCTAACTTGTTGTGTGTGTGTGTGTGTGTGTGTGTGTGTGTGTGTGTGTGTGTGTGTGTGTGTGTGTGTGTGTGTGTGTGTGTGGAGTGGTTGGGTAAGTGTAGCAGTAGGCAAGTAGGGTTATATAGTGAATCAACCTTGTTGAGGTTATAAGTACGAGACCCCACGACACTCAATTCTTCCCTGTCACCATATGTGTCACACTCAAGTCATATGTGACACACTCAAGGCATGTGTGTGTGTCACACTCGTCATCAACTGTCGTCCTCCATCACTCACACTCACATCTTCTCTAAGTCCATCCTCGCATACTCCCCAGCATGTAACTCTAACCTCAAAAACCAGTTACACACAGAAATCACAATAGCGTGATGCATCAAATGAACAAATCCACAAGGGCCGTGACGCGGATTCGAACCTGCGTCCGAGGGCATCCCAAAACCAGTGACTGTCCCGGCAATAAAAATCCTTAAATGGACACTTGAAGAATATTAAGCAGTCGAACGACATTTCTCCTACGACCCCCCTCCCCCCCCCGCCTCCCCCCAACTCTAAGAATAAACCTAATAATAAGCCGTGTTTCGTGGAGCGATCAACAGCTTGTTACTGTTCATCTGTGCTCTAATTCTTCACCCGTCTCGTTGCTAATTAGACTCTGTTTTTCTCCCCTCCTTGTTAGCCTACTCACCGACTATAGCCATACGTCTATATATTATTTTTTTCCATGGGAAGAGTTTTTTTCCCCCATTTGTTACAACCTGTTTTCCGCGGCTGAAACCTGCTGGGGGGGGGGGGGGGTGTGGGGGATAGGGGGTGGGTGGGGGATAGGGGGGGGGGGGAAGGTTCTAATTATACATAATTTTCTCATTACACACCCCGATATAAACACGAGTAATATAAATGGTTTCCAATTAGGTGCTTGTCTTCTCATTATGAGCCAGGTATAATTAGGTACCTGTTTATACACTTGTTAAAAGTCATGCACTTGTTTTCCTTATGTGAATGTAGGCTTCCTTCTTCAAAATACATTTTTCCCGTCAACAAATAAATTTATGGGTTATAGTTACATTCTTTCTCGTGATTAACATCGCATACCACTGGGCACATACTCATCATTTATGAGTAATAATTAAGCATATAATTAAACACACACACACACACACACATACACACTCGCACTATACCCGTGGGCAGTAATACAGCCGTTCTTCAATTTTTATTTTTATTTTCAAAACTCTGGGTTCAATTATGTTTTAAAACTTTGTTGTTTAATTATATTCGTTTTCAAAACTCTGGGTTCAATTATATAAGTTTTGAAAGCTCTGGGTTCAATTATATAAGTTTTCAAAGCTCTGGGTTCAATTATATATGTTTTTAAAGCTCTGGGTTCAATTATATAAGTTTCCTAAACTCTGGGTTCAATTATAAATGTTTTCAAAAGTCTTGGTTCAATTAAATACGATTTCAAAACTGTGGGTTCAATTATATGTTTTTCAAAACTCTAGGTTCAATTATACACTGTTTCAAAGCTCTGGATTCAATTCTATACCTTTTCAAAAGTCTTGCTTCAATGAACTGCGTTTTCAAAAGTCTGGGTTCAATTATGTAAGTTGTCGTATGACTTAAAGAGTTCTGTAACACTTTCCAACCTATTTCTAATTAGTGCATTCGTGGTTTCCACTCATGAGTTCTAATATGATACCTGACTCCCGTTTCTGTATCCTTAGAAACACGATTACTTCCACCTGAGCACACTAATTACCTCCACCTTCAGAGGTGGAGGGGGTCACTCCTTAACCTAATTGGAACCCTCTATCAGTCAGGAATTTCCCCACCTTGTTCTTCCTTCCTCCGGGAGTCAACAACATACTGAGCACCTTTGGGCTCAATTCTGTTGAATTCCACAACCAAATTGGTGAGGTTTTATGATTTTAATTTATTAATATTTAGGTACATCCGCAGCTGCTCTAGACTATATGAAGGGTTACGTAGGATCACGCTGTGATGCTAAGTTACCTGGTAATTCTTGGGGGGCGCCTGATAGCTGGGTTGACAGCGCTTTGGATTCGTAGTCCTGAGGTTGCGGGTTCTATCCCCGGTGGAGGCGGAGACAAATGGGCAAAAAGTTTCTTTCACCGCCTGATGCCCCTGTTACCTAGCAGTTAAATAGGTACCTGGGAGTTAGACAATTGCTACGGGCTGCTTCATGGGGGTGTGTAACAAATGGGGGGCCTGGTCGAGGACCGGGCCGCGGGGACGCTAAGCCCCGAAATCATCTCAAGATAACCCTAGACTCTAAGAAGGGGAGGTCAAAGCGAGCCATGAACGTGATGCTGAAAGTCTCCATTACACAGGCTGGTCAGTCAACCAATGACATCAATAATCTGCACTGGCAAGAATTGGGAGCATTATGAGGATATTCTCAAGAACACGAGAGGTAATAGTGATTGCAAGGCTCCACTCATTTATAAATTTGGCTTTAATAATTTGCACAAATCTACGGACATGTGTATGGATGTTTCACAAGTGGAATGTAAATACAGTATTACTACACAAATCAGCCCGTTCTCCAAACAAAGATCCAAAGTCCATTCCATGCACCCGCCAAACCCCCTGTTTATGAATGAAAAGCGGCTTACACACGATTCGCAACTATTATTATTATTAACATCTTTATTGACAAAATTAATTACAATTTTGCCTAATCTGAGGATTTTGATAGTCTTATTAAATTGAGGTTAATGCTAGTATTCACTGTCACGCAGGACAGAGGGTCATACATAAGACAATAGGCCTAAACTGTAGGCTGAAGCACATATATATCATGGTTACAATCAATGTTTTAATGTGTGGATATGTGAAAACAACTTTCTATTGTGCACTGCCACACAAGTGCAGGGATGGGTTCATAAGTGATACAGCTTAGAATATAAGTAGAAATTGTTCTTCATTCTTTAAAATGGACAAGCAAATTTTGGGTAAATTGTTAGGATGTCGTCCAGAACACCTGAGTCAATAAAATAGTTACACAGTTGGTGGTACAATAGGCCAGGAGGTCTAAAGTCCTTTACGGTTTCACATTCATCAATATAGTGTTCTAGTGAATGCATTGATGACGTTCGAACACTTCCGGAACAAGTGCTTCACTGATGATTTTTTTTCGAATAACAACGCTGTAAATGCTTCACCTACGTACTACAAATACAAGTAATCGCCAACAGAACCTAAACACCTAACCTAACCAAGGGCCTTATATGCACAATATGCTAATGTATAATAATATTAATTTATATTTGATATCATTCCTGTTTTGAATGAACAGCAAGTTAAAATTGATGAATGCGTCTTTGGGATCGACCACTGGATGGAATGGACTTGGCCAGAGGACGGGTTGCACAAATATGTACACAGGCGTGTGTGCTCACCTATTTGTGCCTGCACGATCAAACTCTAGATCTAAAACCCTACTTTTCTAGCCGTTGGTTGTCTAATGCAATGACTCCTGACATTTCCCTGTCATACTTTTAAAGTATGAATGGATTGTGCCTCTATAACCTATTCCTTTAGGTAACCAACCCGTTCTCGCACTTTCTTACAGTCAATATTGACTTATTAAATACGTGCATATGTGACATACTAAACATACTAGTTTACCTTGAAAAGCTTCATAGAAAACACCGACCTTACCTAACCTTCTTAGTATGTTAAGATAAGCATCATATTTAAGCTTATATTATAAGATAATATAAGAGAATTACAATTATTACTTAACCTATACCTATAATAGGTTAAGTAATAATTGTAATTACGAAGCAATAAGATGCTTATCTTAACATACTAAGAAGGTTAGGTAAGGTCGGTGTTTTCTATGAAGCTTTTCAAGGTAAACTAGTATGTTTAGTATGTCACATATGCATGTATTTAATAAGTCAATATTGACTATACGAAAGTGCGAGAACGGGTTGCAACCTAGTATGTCTGGGATACAGACACCACTGTATCCTAGATATATGAAGTCGTTAATAAGTGGTACAGCTTGGACGAAGATGTAGCTGACGTTTCTCAATACACAATTTCTAATGTAAATTTAGACAAACATGGGTATAGAGTCGAACCAAGAAATGTTCAGAACGGCAAAGCTACGAACTAAGAATCGACCATGCAAGCACCCCTAGTAGAGCACAACTAGGTGAGTACACACACACACACACACATACATTTAAAACTGTGACTCCATACACAGTTTTAAATGTAGATATGATAGAGCCCAGTAGGCTCAGGAATCTGTACACCAGTTGATTGACAGTTGAGAGGCGGGACCAAAGAGCCAAAGCTCAACCCCTGCAAGCACAAATAGGTGAGTTGACCAGACCACACACTAGAAGTTGAAGGGACGACGACGTTTCGGTCCGTCCTGGACCATTCTCAAGTCGTTTCGGTCCAGGACGGACCGAAACGTCGTCGTCCCTTCAACTTCTAGTGTGTGGTCTGGTCAACATACTTCAGTCACGTTATTGTGACTCATCGCCTGCAAATAGGTGAGTATA